CAAATGCAACAGGCAGTGGTATGGCCGAATTACTCAAATCACAATAACGGAAATGTCGCGCCACCACCGCTTCTGCTTCCGCCACCGCCGCCTTCACTTCAACTACTCAGCGATATCGGTGGCGCCAGGCTGGTCCTCACGGAAAGTAAAAGAAAGCAACAGAGTACCCTGCCTATCGTAAAAATAGAGGCAGACTGTGGCACCAGTCCTACGACCATAATCAGTAAGTTGAATAGAACTTTCGAAGCGGACTACGTAGTTATTAAGTAATTAAATTAAATTAAAGAAAAAAAAAAGTAATTGCATAGTTGGAAAATATAACGTGTATTATTATGATAATTGCAAGTTTTGTATGATATTTAATTTATACGTGGTACGTACTGAATTCGTAGATCCATGGAAATTATTTAAATTCAATTAATCTTCGATAGATTATTTACGTATAATTTAGTACGATTGTACATTATTTTCTTTATTTGATTAGTAAAGTTTCTCTCTTAACTCGTTTCTATTTGTGTATATTTAAATTTTCATCTATTTTTCATTTATTCATTTACATTCAATTTTCTTTTCTTTTCATTTATATTTATGGTTTTTAATACATGGTATGTGATGTAGAATTTATTTAGAATACGAAAAATATTTTATTTATCACTTCAATAAGAATCAAAAACAAATTCCTAAATAATAACTGACATAAATCTTCTATCGAAAATTATATTTGAAATTATATCTCTAATAAATTAACGGAGCAATAATTGGCAAGCATCATTCATTTATTGATCGAATAATATTCCTAGATAACGTTGAAATTCTAAATTCTATAGCGTCGACGGAGTCCACGAAGGCGTTGCAGACCGTGACTTCGATGACAGGAACTCTAGTGCCAGATGCACCCCTGGTGACTACGCTTCACTATTACCCGCATGCTCCTGCGTTGGTTCAAATCAGCCAGGCAGAGCCAACGCACTGCAGGTCACAGGTAAGTCCCTTGCCTTTGCCATTTCACCATTTTCTATCTCCCTCTTTTATTACGGTCTATTGTCTACGATTACTTACTTTCCATTTTACCTGTATCTGCATGGATTCTATGAAAACCTTGAATATTAATAGGTTTTTATTATACTTATGACCAAAATTTTGTAAGAGTTGCTTTGTGGAAAGTTCCCACAAAGCTGGTAACTGTTGTTCGAATTTACTAGAATAATTATTCAGTTGAAGTAGAAGTAATAATATTTCATTCTTAGACAGTATTTTCTTAGACAGCATATTCAGAAATTATTTATTTTCGCAAATCGGTTTTATTTCTGAAGTTTCTGTCACTCTCCTATTTCGTTTGAAATTTCAATTGAACATTGAATGAAAAATTTACTTTCTCTTCACTCTTACAAAAATATTATTTTTTGATACAAAGAGACCTCATATTTTTAGAAAGGTTTCAAGACAATTTTAGATTGAATATCTATGAAAAAGAATTTAAGTTAAAAAAAGAATTTTAGATTATATATATATATATATATTAGCAAAAATAAATATCGTATAATTTCTATAATATATGTATATTTTCGAACTAGTTTCACATTTTGATAATATGATCACGACGTTTAAATTATATTACAGTATTGATAAAATTGCAAAATTTTTCATACAATGCACGCTGTGTACAGGGTGGCCCACGTATTATCTTGATCACCTTCTTACACAAGTTTTATAAAATTGAACTTAAATCCATAATTGTTCGACAATGCGTTTAATTAATTAAAATTTGATGAATAATTTTTTTATAAATGTCGAATTAGATCGATTAATATCGAACATAAAATATATCATTCCATTTAAAAGAGTAGTGGTTATCTACAAAATAACTATTATTGTCCTCCCTACTAAAGAATCTTTTTTCACAAAGTTTTTTCATCTTTCCAACAACAAAAAAAAAAGAAAAAAAAAACAGGATTTATATGAACGAGATATTCAAGGTGTCCAAGTTGGTCCATCCATTCTGTATACAAAAAAATTTTTCACTGATATTGGAACACTTTTGCGAGACACTGTATGCTCGTCGATTATACGTTCGAATCGAGCACGATGACAAGAGGGAAAAGCAAACGATGTGGAGGGGGGAGGGGGGGAGCGATAGTAATTATGCCAAGCTCAGGGCGCGGTCCAACCGTTCGCATAATGCGGAAACGTTGTGGCACATTGTATTAATCATGCGCAAACCTATTTGCATCGCTATCTGCATAGATATTACTAACCAGCTCGTTGTTGACCCTGCAATTCCTGGGACGCTGAACGTTTCACGTTGGTTTGTTCGCCGCGGTCTTTGGTTTGCTTTCTGCTGGTCATTTGCCCGTTATCGTTTCCATTTGTTTCTCTGTTTTCCCGTCTTTCTTTCCGATCGAACTTTTATTTTTTATTGTACATAAATATGTCAAATATGACTATTTGACTCGTTGTAAGACAGCTTGAGCAATATTTTGAATATTCTTAACTTTGAGTAATTTCGATAGAAAATTAACAGAGGAGACGATTTTAATTTAGAAAGAATTTTATACGAAATTTTAAGAATTCGAACTCCAATTCACATTTCTACTCACACGTGACATACACATGCAATCGTTAAGTACCGGAAGAGAAAGCGTAGATATCGCGAGCATTCTTTAAGCAACAATATATAACATTTTAAAGATTTTAGCTTGAATAGTTTTTAGACAATAGTTTCGGATAATAGAAGTAGGAATCAATAGATTTTTGTACAGCATATGAAAATTTCTAAATTATAAAAATTTATATGTGAGATTTCAAAAATTATTATTGATATCGAAACATCAGAATTATTATCTGTAAAATTTCATAATACATACAAATTATTTTTCAATAAGTAATAAAAATTATTATACCTTTTTACTTGACTTTTTGTTTACACGTACTGTCTATAAATTATTTTCACCATCTTCAGATGTTAATATTTGAGAATCAAATTTCAAGTAAATCACACAATTAATCTCACTGAAACTTCAATGATTGTTATTGATATCGAAACATCAGAATTATTATTATCTGTAAAATTTCATAATACATACAAATTATTTTTCAATAAGTAATAAAAATTATTATACCTTTTTACTTGACTTTTTGTTTACACGTACTGTCTATAAATTATTTTCACCATCTTCAGATGTTAATATTTGAGAATCAAATTTCAAGTAAATCACACAATTAATCTCACTGAAACTTCAATGATTGTTATTGATATCGATGAATCGAAATTATTATCTGTCAAATTCTACATACAAATTATGTTTCAATAAGGAATAAAAATGATTGCACTCTGACTTTTTGTTTACACGTACTGTCTATAAATTATTTTCACCATCTTCAGATATTAATATTTAAGAATCAAATTTCTGTTAAAATTAGAATCACGTAAAATTGTTCTCTCTTCTAAACTTTCATTAAATTTCGTACGACGGCAAAATATTCCTTATAGTTCATTCCTTTGTTCAATTTGTCCCCCACTCCCCCCCCCCCCGACTTACTTAGTTCGAGACCTAATCTCGAAGTTCCGTTTTTTCCTTGGGTGATTCATGATAATCCGATGGTGTTAATTCGTTGCGCGAGCAAAAGTTTAAACTGTTGCTTGTTTACCAGGAAGCGTGTTAATCCTTGCTTATTCTCTTTTCTTACGACCCACACTTCTCCTAAGCGCGATTTCAAAGAGCTTTACAGTTCGTTCGCTACAATACGGTTTGTTCCTTCCGTTTCTTTTCCATCTTATTGCCATTCTTTCGTCTCTCGCGCTTCTCCTTTGCTCTGTCAATTCCACCCCCCCCCTTCGCTTTTTCCGATAATAAATGTTGCTCCTTTGTTTTTTCTCAGTGATTTTACTTCGTAAAATACGATCGAGACGTGTTTTCTTTGTTTTCTAAATCCCTCCTCGATGTTGCACTCGAAAGAGAAAATAAAAATAAGCTCGGATCGCAAATTTATTTATTTTACACTTTTCTCTTCGATTTCGAAAAAAAATTATATTTAACATTTGTTCTACCAACTTTTCACCAGCGATAAAAAATTCTGTCAATAAAAAATTACATTCCTTTCAAAGAAAGGACATTCAACAGAAATCTTTTTTTCTCCAAAAAAATCTCTTGAGAAAGAGGATGAATTAATACACGTAATTCGAAGCCAAACAGTATTTCACATACCTGTCGCGTTCATGATCACCTATTCGCACGTTCGAATTGTTTTACCAGACATCAATGTAAATCATTCCAATGAATACATATTAAACAGGGCAGTTGGATTAATTTGCATGGCTAGAACATCTATCTAATTCAGTTCTATTTGCAACGGGGACGAGTTCGACGATCGTTGTCAATCGTCGTGATCGAGCAGAAATCATTTGGCGTTTCACCTCTGTCTTCTTTGGCCACTTTTGTTTCGAGAATCCGCTTTGTAGAGATAGAATCGAAGGAAAAGCTGGCCTTTCCTTCGATTCTAGAGTTTTGCCTTTGGCCTCACTGTTGTAAAATCGCATCCCGGCGAATTTTAGCAAAGTTGGACGAACTATCTTTAAAGTGAATAGATCCGCGCAGGGATGAGTGTAGAACGACGGGGACAGTGTAAATTAAACGTCGAGGAAATTTTATTACCTTGTTTGTAATTTCCGTGCTTAACGAGTTAAGCTGTACGAGTATTCCAAGGGAAACGTGAATACAGATAACGAAATATGAATGCTTTTCTAAACGTATTAAAATTCGTCGTTTTCACGCGTAACGCGAAGCCGTAATTAGAAAAATAACTCAAAAGATCCATTGTTGAAATATATTTTTATAAGGGCAATAGACGAAGACGATGTGTTAATTGTTTACATAGTAGAATTGATTTTTTGTAACGCTTTGTTATGAATTTTTTTTATATGGGAATAATATTTTAAAATACGTAAAAAGCTATGAATGATACTGAGAAAACAAAAGATAATTTACTTGCAAATAAACAGTTGATCTATCTGGTCAAATCCCTACTTACTTCACATGCTATAATAATTAACAATACGAATGTATTTGGAGAAGCAGTTGGGTAGCATAAAAATATTCTTTAATTCTATTCTTAAGCGACGGCAACTGATCGGATTAATTTTTTGACTCTTTTGTCTGTGTCAGAGTATTGTACAGAGAATTTTTTAATTAGACTGCGAATTTTTATGCATTTAAATTGTAAAACATGTTTTACATGCTTTTATACGTTTCTCACTACACATGGAAGAGATTTCAAATATCTCAAAATGTAAAAAATTTTTGATCAAGTTTCATAATTTTATTATTAGACAAAGCTAAGAGTTTAAAGATGAATAAATAAATAGTGATTTTCAATTTCTTACAAGGTTAGTATTAAACTTTTAGATTTTTAAGCACCCAAAAGATTATATCTTGACTGTCTTATAGGCATAAAATTTTCAAATCGTAGTTATTCACTGGGGACAATATGGAATATTCCTAAATCTTCCATTTAGATTTCCAATTTGTTCAAGTTAATTGTACATTCTGACAGTACAGAATATTGACAAGATAAAAGATATACGAATCTTCTATTTAGACTTTCATTTTCGTAACTGTAAGCATCCAAAAGGTTCACCTTTATATTCTTATGGACGTAAGATTTCCTATTATTGCCAAAATCTTTAAATCTTAATTGCCTTCACTATAATACTTCCTCTATTCAAATCGCTGTTTCCGAAATCTGCTAAATATTCTTTCTACCATAGCGTGTAGAATCCTTTTAGCCATATTAAATAAGCTATTGATGTTTCAGAACAATACATGCTTTTATTTGAAAAGGCATGGTTACCCTGTGAGTCAGAGTAATAAAATTCCGGCTTAGGGCAATGCACAGTCTATTTACTTAAAGTTCTTACTACGCCTAGTACGGAGTTGAGCAAAACCGACTAACAGTAAAATTTTTCCAATATTCTGTATTAACTGCAATTAATAATGAGTCAATTTTAATCGTCAGTTAGAATTCCTCATTAACGATTAACAATTTTTTGTGATAAAATTTTCTACAGATGACTACCAGAAACTTATGTACAACAACACAACGTTTCGAGAAATGAATCTGAGCTCGTTTCGAAGCGTGAAGCTTTTACTTTTGTAATTCTGCATTTATTTTTTTATAAAAATGTTTCCGATGTTATCGATTTTTTATTACAAAATTATAACGGTATATTGAGCTTAAAGCGTCGAGGCTTTATTACAATTTCAGTTGAAATGAAATTAGTGATTATTGATAATTGATAATTGATAATTGATAGTTGATAATTGATAATTGATAATTGATAATTGAAGATTAAACTATTAATCGATTAAATCAATCGCCGATTTTTCAACGATTGATTTTCTTTAATGAACGGTTATTTATCATTATTTATCAGTCGCTGATTTTCTCATTAATTTATCTCATTAATCGTAAACATCAATCAGCGTGAAAATTGTAATCGATTAAGGCCCAACTCTTGGTTGATAACTTCTATTTGAAGAAGTTCGGGAAAATAACGCCAAGGCCATCCTACCTGCCTACCTACTTTCCCTCTCTACCGACTCTAAGGGTTTGGTTTAGACCTAAACCGATAAATCATTTTCCAGCATTAACTTCCACTTCTTCTTGCCGAAAATCTTGCGTTTATATAAGCGATTTTGTCCAGTTTGTCTCAGATACGAGTTCAGCTACTAGTTGAGTTAGTCGTTCGCTCTTTGCTCTTGCTTGCAGTCACTGTTGAGATATTCTTGCATTCAGTTGTACGTTGAACCTTAAGAGCGACTGTGCTTACGTAGTAAATATCAAGTCTTACACTTGAGACAAACTTTCTCACTGTGCGTGAAGAAATTTCGCGAGTCGCAGTGTCATTCATAGACTGATTGATCGTAAATTAATCGCGTCCGTTGCGTCGATCACTCCAACTTTGTTTAAAATTCGTCGTTGCCTAACTCGGCATATATTTGATCCTGGTGTATCCTGCGTGCAGCAGAGAAATTCGTTTCTTTCAAAGGCGACCTCGCCGGTCTCGTGTTTGACGCCACCGCCAGAGGTGACGACGATCCACGCGATCGAGCCACCGGAAGTGGTGCCGATCGTCGGAGTGCAGGACGCGTCGAACCAGACGGACGCACCAGAACTGGAGGATCAAGAGCAACAACAGCAACAGCAGCAACAACAACAACAACAGCAGCAGCAACCGTTGCTCGAGGCGTGCGTTAAACAAGAGCAGAGTATGAGTCCGTGTCAGCTACAGAACTCGGCGGCCAATCTCACCACGACTACCACCAACTTAACGAATCTCACCAACTTCGAGATCGTTGCTGCGTCGCCGGAGAAGGTGTGCAACGTTGTGCGAATAACGACGACCACGACTACTGTTAACCCGGCTGTATGCAACCTAGTCGGTAAAGTGGACAAAGCGGAGAACACTGTCATTAATATGGCAGACTGTCCGAAATACTCGGTGACGAAGGAGTGCAGGAGCGTGACGTCGATCGATCGAACGATCGAGCATGTTGTGACGCAACAGATCGACAGGGAGCACGATGATAGAAATCATCAGATAGAAGAGAAGAGCGAGGAACAGTTTACGGAGGACAGGATGCCGTGTCGGGATATCAGGAATGGCCCGAGGATCATCGAAATCACCGAGGAGAACTGCGACAGTTTCCACGAGAATCTCGAGTTCTTTGGCAGGAGGAGAGACCATTCTTTGGATCGACTTCGAGACAGAAAGAATAGTTACGTTCACGAGAGTATGGACGTTGAGATGGAGGAGGAGATAGACACGAAGGCTGCTACCGATAAGGTAAAAGATCTCTTCTTTTCTAATGTTAGTTTACTGAGAATTCTTTTATGGAGATTGGAAAGTTTTTTGCAATAATTTTTTCTTTCTAATATACTGTAAGTTGTGCAACAAGTTCGTTCGTACGTTGAATTGTATATTATTATATAATTATTATTATTACGTAATTATTATATATTCATATAAAATTATTAACGTGGGTATTTTCTATAATACATATTTTTGATATCCTCGAAAACGTAGACACCAAGAGGTGAATAAGTTAATTATACAATTTACAATAATATACCGATGAAAAATTGTCGATATCTTAAATTATTGCAAGAAAAAAACCATCATATAACAGAATCATATTTGTAGAAAACCATCATATAACAATTCCCTCGGTGTCATTTTAAAGGTTGAAACCTCTAATTTGAGTATATCATGTCAAGTTCGTCTTTTTTTTCAAAAATATTTTTGCATCAGCTTGACAAAAACATCTGCGTCGTTTTAAACAATTGAAAGAAAGAAAACTCTGCAATTACAAAACTAAACCGAACGCATTGAAATAATTAAAATCACTGAACTTTAGCAATCGTCGAAGAATTACTATCAAACTTGCTCAAACATTCTGTATTATCATATGTATTACATTTTCCAGATTGAAATATCTGAAACTGAGAGAAGACCTTCCATTGAGTCGAACAGACCCGCGAATTCGATGGAAACGTCAGAAGCAGATGAAACAAATAAATTGTCAGAAAGTAACGGCCAGTCGAGAATGGAAATCGACGCGAGTTACGAAAGTTTGGAGAAGAATCGGGACGAGCGTCCCGAGGCACCACTACCACGTCCCCAGATCACGGTGAAGTCTTTCGACATGCCAAGCATCGACTGCGACGACCAAGTGGCCAAACCGATCGTGATCAAGCAAGAGGCCGACGAGACAGCGTACGATGATTTTTCCTCGGCTACGGAAAAATCCAAGTATCAAGACTCGTGCAAGAGGCACGTGACTGAGAAGAGTCATCCCGGGATCGAGAACGTGGTGGAGAAGTTAAAGAAGAACGCAGCGGCCGCTCTTCAAGAAACGACATTTCAAAAGGTCGACGATTCCACGGACAAGAGCGTAGAGGATTTCCGTTCGAGAAGACATTCGGAGCCAACGCCAACGAGGAGATTGGAGAACGGCCTGAAGAAACACATCCTAAAGTCCTGCGAGAACTCTCAATTCTTGGACAAATACCCTGACGTGTCCCGAGAGCCTGAGGTGGTGTCGTCGTCGGAGGTGGTGCCATCGCGAATTAAAGATTCTCAGGATGTTTCTAATCACGAGCGTGCTTGCGATTTTTCCATCAACAAATACCCTCTGCCCAGGAAATGTTTCTTGAACCAGAACAGCAATGACAAGCCGATCGAACATGAAGAGAACACCGTGGTGAAGAAAGAGAAAGTTTCCTCGCCCGAGTCGTGCGAAGCGGAGCTGAACTCTACGGACGGTGACGCGTTGGTGTCTGCGAAGCGAAAATTAGAAGTGCCCAGTCAGGTGAACGCGTACGCCGAAGTTGCGTGCGACGATGAAACGTCGAAATCCAGGAACGCGGTCAATTTCAAACAAAAGCCTGTAGTCGACATCAGCGGATTGGAACTGCTGTCGAACAGCATCGAGCAACTGGAACAGTTGAAGCCTAACACGCAGATCGTCGGCGCGGCGTCCGAATTGGAAAGATCGTCGGTTAGAGCGAACATGGACAGCCCTTTGGGATTGTTGTGTGCTCTCGCGGAACAGCGATTTATGGAGGAGATGGGCGACGAGGTCACGTCTAAGTTCAATTTCGAGAACTCCGAAGAGATATCGCACGCCGGCAGGTTGCTGCTGAATCTGGGCAGGATGAACATTCAGGACAAGGAAATAAAACCGACAGAGAAGAGAAAGTACGAGCAGGGAGATTTGGAGAACTACAAGAGTCCCAAGAGATTGAAAATCAATGGCGAATCCGAGAACGAAGACGACGACTCGCTGCGTTATGAGAATCGCAATAATGGTAAAACGTACGACAAACAAGTACCGGAGGAATTTATACTGAAAGTGAAGACGAGGACGAGAAATACAAGTTTGTCTGAGAAGAATTGTGTTAATGACAACGACGAGGACGTTGCTATGCTGGAAGACGCTCCTCTTGATAGGGACACTTCTGAAGACAAGAGTTTTGAGCAACACGAGAGACAATATCCAATGAACGGGGCGTATAGCAATAAACGATCTATCGACGATCATTTGACATCATCAGATTTAGACGAAGGGACGAATATATACGATCGGAAAATGTCTCCGAGTGATAAAGCGGTGGAGAATAACGAAGACAGTGGGGATGCGAAGAGCAGAATTTCTATGGAACATCGCCACGATTACAGAAACTTACAAGCGAAATTGGACGCGAAGAAGTTCTTAGCACGGAAAGGCCACACCGATAATAACGGCGACTGGCCTAACATGGATGCCTTGGAATTGCATATGAGAGTTCAGTTAGCAGATATACAGAGACAGTACAGGGAAAAGCAGAAAGAATTGTCCAAACTAATTCCAAAGAGGGACGAGAAGAAAAGTCCTGGACGACCACGTAAGAAAAGCCATTCTTCTAGGTGAGTCAAAGTTCTCATTTTATTTTGGAGTAATTTATTACGGAACAGTTGTTTCAAACTTGTCTTTAGCTGAGCAACAAGATCATCATTTTTTCATTGGTTTCATTATTTTGAAAAATATTATAAAAATTCT